CCCCCCCCCCCCCCCCCCCCCCCCCCCCCAAAAAAAAAAAAAAAAAAAAAAAAAAAAAAAAAAGACAAGAAAACCCGAATTTATCGCAAGCTAGAATATCATTGGCGATTTGGCAGTGCAACAGCAGGGGAGCATCGGGGCCTGACCTCAAGCTCGCGAATGCGCTCCTGCTGCTCAAAGTTGTCCGTGATGGTGTCATCATGGGCTGTGCGAAACTCGTCCACCATGGCCTCGAGCCGCTCCTTCTCGTAGCGCACCTGCATCAGCTCATCATGGATGGCCTGAGCCACGTTCTCTTGTGCAGCCACATCCTCGCTGGTCAGCACCACCTCATCAGCCATGATCGCGATGGCCAAAGCCTGGCTGCCAAACTGCTCGGGCGGATGATGTGCCTCCCCACCCGCGCGCTCTTCAACCACGCAAGCACAAAAAAAAAAAAAAAAGGCTGTGAACACAGCCACTAGCTCACCAGCTACCCAGCACCACCCAATCAGGCAAAAGGAAATGCATTGATGAGTTTTTGCGCCCCAACGTCTGGTCCCAGTCCCCGCCGTCTCACCTCTCCATCAAGAACCAACAACAACAACAACTTGCAACCGTCACCCACCCAGCAAATGCAAGAGAGAGAGACAGAGAGAGAGAGAGAGAGAATGCCACACACGCACACAGTTGCCGTGACACCCAAAAGGCAAACCAAACCGTAAACCGTGGTAGAAAATATTGCTGACAATAATGTCATTGTTTTCTTAGCATATGATTGCGGACACTTGTTTCGTGATATCGCATCCGTCAGCTTCTCGCGACTTGGGGACGGAATGTCAGATTGTAAGATTGTCAGATTATACAATCGGGGCCTTTGTTGCTTTTTGTTGGTTTTTGAGAGGTTTGGGATTGAAAAACGAGGGTAAAAGTATTGAAAAAATCAAGCTGTTGTTGGAGTATTTTTTTTTGGCGACCGACTGACCGTCAAGATGCCGGGACTCAACTCGCCGACCATCATCACCGTCACCATGCTCGGCCTCGGCGCGCTTGGTTATGCCCTCGAGTACCCCCATCTCATCGGTAAGACATCATGTTAATGTTGTATGGTGCAGGCTTGGGCCTTTTCTTGATTGTTTCTCCGTCGTCGCCTGCCTCTTGCTTGCGCCCGCCCCTTGCCGACCTCCCGACTGCTTGCTCACCATGTTTGCCTCTGGCGGTGCAGCCGAGTACAAGAAGGACCCGCCGGCGTGGAGCAAGTATGCCAAGAAGGAGCATGCCTAAATGGATCAACGAGGCTGTTCAGCTCTTGTACCCACCCCACACCCCTGCTATATAGCCGGAGCCCAGGTGGCACCTTGCTTTTACGACAAATTTGACAGATATGGCGCATATTTCCCGGGGTGGGGTGGTTACCGCCGCCTTGCGTATTCCACCTTCGTCCTCCCTACACTGGGTGGGGCACGTTTACATGCCCCGCCAATGTCTCCCCATGTTTGCCATGATGACCGCTCTTTTTCGTTCTTCCTGGTTTTCTCCTCCTTATCAACAATAAATCGACCTCACAGCAGCCAATTCGACTTTCGCCCCATCTGTATTTTTCGTGGCGCCTTCCCCCATTGGGATCCAATACATGCCAGCCAGACGTGTGTCAACTCATCAACTTGCAGTATAGCACTGACGCAGATCGAATGCTCGGGTCCGATACCCTTGCCACCACCAAAACTCATTGGATGGAACAGACTGCCGACTCCGGCTTGCCATTGGCGCTGTTTGCTGCGCCGCTAGAGGTCGTTTGCGCCAAACGACTGGCTGCATTGGCAATCATCACCGTCTGGACAGCCGCCTTGAATGCGGGCAGTGCCGGATGGCTCAACGCCTTCTCAACCTCCTTCACATCCACTTTGGGGATCTTCTTCGCCTTTTTCCCGTCCAACAGCTGTGCCATCAGCCGTAGTGGTTATCATGAGTGGATCAAAGCGGCGCTATCCGGGCACAGTGCAGCATGGAGAGCACACCTACCGCACGAACGGCCTTGATGCGCATTTGCTGCTTTTGGTGCAACTTGCGCTCGAGCGTCAGCTCGCAACGTAGCCGATACAGCTCATCTTCGTTGCGACTCTGCTTGGCCAGCAGATTGGAATTTTTCAACAAGCTGGCATTGAACGTGTTGCCCTACAATGACCATCAAACATCGGTTCAAAGCCACATCAGATATCAACGTCGACCTCGGCATACCCGAGCACGGACAGACAACCCCCTGCCGCGTAGAGAGGCTCATATTATCCCATCACACGTCACTGACCATGCCGCTCTGCGCCGTCTGCTCTGCTTCCACGCGCACAACCAGACCATGGCTGTTATCGGGGACCACGACGCACGGCACGAGCAGCAGATGAGGGATGAGGATCAGCCATGCCAGCAACTCAGATCTCTCAAATATTGCTTTCCAAACCACAACCAGTAAACCTGGGCACACTCACGAGTCGAGCCAGCGCAAAAAGTCCTCAGAAACAGCAGGAATTGTCACGTGGTGCTCAAAGTTGAACTCAAAACTCGACGTCGTGGGGTCAAGGCTCGCGGATGACGAGCACTGCTCCAGGCCACAAACGCATCAAGGCATGTCAGTCGGGTGCACCGTGGGAAGAGACCTGACCATGTGCTCCGGGCGTTGGCTACCGTCGACGTACCGGAGCCGTTTCAATGCGCTGGCCGAAAAAGTCACAATGAACCACGGCCTTGTCAAAGTGCCCCGGCGCATTTGCCAGTAGCTTGAACTTGATTAAAAAGTCGGCTCGCTGGTCCAGGAGTTCTTCGGGTGACTCAATGAAGATGTCATCCAATTCGAGCGACTGCTTGCCCTTCACATCACACGGCACAACCTCCACGGCCAGCTTGCCTGTGACCCACAGCATGCGCCACCATGAGGCTCACCTTTGTTTTCTCACCGCCATTTGCAATTTACGCCATTTTGTCACCCACAATTAAAACACACAAATGCATTGGCCTACCTCTGGGCTCGCCGCGATGATTGATAATATTGATGGCCTGCTCCACCTCAATGAGGTACATAAGGTTGCGCAGATAGACTGTGCAAAAGCCCATGGTTACCAAGCGGTCAAACGGTTCGTAGAACGGATCCTGAAACACGGCCCCAAAAGCCAAAAGAGGTCAGTGTTGCCTCTCGCGCCACGCGCAAGTGTCACATTCCCATTTTAAACCGTGCACTGTACCGAGTCAGGAGCTCGATCCCATTCCGGATCATTCTCGGTAAAGTTGCTGTACATCTCTTGCATCGCGTATTTTCGGTTCAAAAACGACGTTGGCGACCACAACCACGAGGCGCCCGACTCGGTGTCAGTGACCAAGATCTATGTCCAAACAGGGCCATGGTATCAGATGGTATCAGCTGGCGTCTGACCAAACGGGTATTGCCATCAGTACAGGTGCCAGCGTTCACTCTCACACCTTCACGACGGCCTTGCCGCTGCGGCCCGTCTCCGGATCAATCTCGGACACGGCTTCGATCTCAAACACCTTGGGTTTCCCTAGCTCCTCGGCCATGGCCGACGCCTCGGCCACATGAGGCACCATTTCCACGATCTACAAATGTACCTCCCCTTGCGTGAGAGAGAGAGAAGAGAGGGAGAGAGAGGAAGAGAGAAGAGAGAGAGCTCAAGGCCTCCGGGTCTCGCCTAGAGGGCCACATGCTTTGACTGACCTCGCTTTGCAGCAATTGCTGTTCCGGACTCATTTCACCCTCCGCCGTCAGGCCATTGTGACGCGCGATCTCATCCTGCAGCCAGCCAAACGCGTCAAAACAAGGTATAATAAACCAGCGCCTTGCGAAACCAGAACTTGCCTGAGCTTCTTCAAACGTCGGCGCGACGTCGGCCGTGCCCAGAGTCTTGCCAATGAGTGAAGCCTTGGGCACACTCAAACAGTACAGCTGACCCGGTGCAAAGAGCAGGCGGTCGTGGTGCTTCAGCTCCACAACATCGTCCCTGAGCCGGAACGGCGCTGCCAATGAGGCTAATACAAGCACATCATCTCCTCCACACCGCACCACATCTATTTGCCGGCATGGTGTCACCTACCCAATCTCGATACCATTGTGCATAATATGTGCACGCTTGGACATTTTTTTCAAAAACACAAGGTCATCCTTGAGCGTCACCTCGGCGTGATGCCCCACCACGTTGACGCTCTTAAGGATCATGTGCGTTTCCTCTACAGGAATCACCGACGCGAGCGTGAGGGACCATGAAAGACCATCATTGAATTGATGAGCCTTGCGCTGATGCCATACCGTTGGCTTTGCCGTTGCCAATAAGCGACGTGGGCTGCTCCAGGAAATAGGCCACCACGCCTGCAGGCATGAGTTCCACGGTGCAGCAGTGCATGAGCCAACACAGCAGATGACGAATGACAGATGAGACAGTGGCATGTACGATAACAATGCCATATATACCACTCAAAGCAGGGTCGGCGTTCATGTTCCAAAAGTGTGGCACTTGCTTTCTTTTTTCCTTCTCCGAGTTGCGGGCTTGCAGCTAAGAACAGAGGGTTGCAAACAGTCAGTACCAACGAGCGAGCACCCAGCTTAGTGGGCGGGCTTGACAAACCGCGCGCTCTTTTTCTTCTTTGGCCTCTTGCAGCCGCTTTTCCCATTGCGCCATTTCCTCCTCCAAACGCCGGTTGTCATCCATTTGGCGTCGTAGCTGCTCCTCCATCTCCTTGGTGGCTTGAGCATCCTCGGGCTATGGCACGGCGTCACGTAAGTTTGGTCGCACGGGACGACCGTAGGCATACGTTACGCACCGAATTCGACCCATCCATGGACATGGGCATCATGCCGGCCGGCAGTTTGCCTGCCTTGAGCATCTCCATAAGGCGTGCATTTTCTTCCTTCAGCTCACGAATAAGACGCTCAGTGGGTGTCTCATTCACCACAGCTTGTGTCTTAATACTCTTGACGCGATCAGCAAAGCGCAGTGTGGAAAGCGTCTCTGAAATGATCAAATAGGAGAAAGGAAAAGTCGGCATTTGACTGTGAAGCAGTGCAAGAGGCATCCCAGAGTCGAGCCTAGCAGAGAAAGCTAGAAACACGGGCGCGGGACGCGAGCAGCCGATCAGAAGCAGTGGCTCGCACCGTCGTAGTTGATATCAGCTGGAGACAAGGCTGCAATCTGTCACAGAAGCCAAGTGCAAGCCGTGAGATTTGCGGCGATGGTGGCACAGGACTGAGCAACACCCACTACCCAAAAGCTGGCAAGACTCACCATGACAGTCTTGCTGTTGCCACCAAGTGCATTCTTGAGCAATCGTGTCAAGACGGAATCACGGAAAGGAATGATTTTCTGTCGACAGTCACACAGAAACACAGGTCCAAGTTGCAGGATTAGCCAAACGCGACGGTTGAATTGTCCTGTACAGCGAATTGTGCATCAATTCGCTGCCCCCTCCGTCCCCCCCCCCACAACACACATACACGCATATACCTTGCGATCGCCGTTTTGCACGTCAACAAGCGCTGAGATGACATTGCCAAGAGTCGAGAGCGATTGGTTGATGGCTGCACCCTCCTTGAGTCGATCGCCCGTAGCACCTATCCACGGCAAAAGATGGCGGCAGTGAGGTCCCTCTTGCAGGCTGCAAGCACATACGCATGCCATGGCTCGAAACCTTTCTCAATAGCTTCTTTGCTCAGGTCACGGCACCTGTGCTCTCAGCGCGTTCCGAGCCAGCAAGATCAACGAGGTTGATGCTTGACGATTTGGTCATGTTGACGTTATCAGCATTCTGTTTGCCAGCAGGCGTTTGCAAGGCAAGTCACGGGGCGAAGGCGTAGATGTGCGCAAGAAACCAGAGCTATTGCACTTCACATCACGCACCTGGGCCTTTTGTGCAAAATTGATGGTGACAATGGTATGTGCACGCGAGCTGGTGGCGTTCATGTTTGTGGCTGCAATGGTGCGGTTCTTGGTGCCCTGGGTTGTTGTCGCACAGGCGTATGAGCTTTGACAGCTGGCCTTGAATGAAAGGGCCAGCGTCGCGGGCAGATCATGTTGTGAAGGTATTTACCTCTTCAATACGAGCCTCGATATCAGCGTAGTTGCCGACAGGCACGACACGGAGACCTTCAACGTAAAATCCCTTCTTGGGGTGTTGGCGCACCTACAAAAGGGCAGAGGGCATTCATCTCATGGCAAATGCAACGACCAGCCGAATAACACCGAGCGCAGCCTCTGTGAGAAACGTCGCACCTTCATGCCACCGCGAACTGATTGATGCGAGAGGAGGTCGCGAACTTGTTCGTTGTAAATCTGTATGCAGCAACAGAAAGCCACGCGCACCATGAGCGTGCAAAACGGATAAAAGCATGGGCAGGCGGTATGGCATTGGAAGTGTGGTCTTTCAGTTGTAGCGCAACGCGCGCTCTCAGGGGGGGGGCAGACCTCGAGCATGGAAAAGGTAACTTGGCACTGAATGTTGTCCGCATTTTTGCTTTCGATCTGCTTGAAGAGCTGCTCGCAGGTCACGGGGACAATCCCTGTGCCACAAAGTTGAGGCGCCAACAATAAGGCTTTCAACCTTGGTACACTGCTCGCATTGGTGTGCACTTGCTATCACGCACCTTTGTTCACGCCGTAGCCCACCATACTGTAGGATTTGCCCGACCCTAAAACCATGGACAAGTGAGCCGATGGGTGAATTTCCCAAGCACTGGCTCGGTTGGAAAGGCTTACACGGCGCGCGCTTGCCGTACCAGTTTGGCCATAGGCCATGAGAGAGGCGTTGTAGCCATTCCATGCATTGTCGAGAACGCCTTGACCCAAATCGGCAAAGACGCGCTTTTGATCGGCGTACACCGGGTCGGTGGGCTCGAGGTAGCCATCGGCCAACTCTTCAAAGTGGTCGTGACTCCAGTAGGAGTGATCAAAGGCAAACTTTTTTTCCGTGTTATCCTCTGGATTGGTGATGACGGTCGAATCTCCTTCCATCTTGAGAATCAGTTGAGCGTTGGCCGCCTTTTCTCGGCTGTTGAACGGCCGTACGCGAACTGCCACCTGCGACTCGTATCAGCACGAGGGAGTGTTGAATGACAACCCAACCGATTCAACACACGCACCAAACGATAGCATATCAGACGCAGCGAGGAGCCGATTGCATGTTGTACCTTCACACTCTCCGCCATGATGGCTGGTAAAAGGGAAGGGCGGTGCGGGGTTGATTGCAGCAGCCGAGCCACGCGGGGCGCGTGCTAGGCTCAAATTTAACAGGCGCGGGCCTGAAACGGGGTCAGAGGCGATATTGTGTGACCCCCGTGCGTATACTCGATCCGTTTGCTCTTCATCAATTTGCCCAGCCGTAGTCGCAGCTGCACGCTGAAGTGCAAAGCAGCCCCGCAGCCCGAGGACCAGTTGGTGCGCGAAAGAGGCGGAGTTGTCCGCGGTCTTGTTGCCAGTCCTCTCAGACGTTAAGGAAAAGGCTTGCAAGCCAGAACCGGCTGACAATTAGAAATCTGACAACAAGCTTTCACATGTCAGTCTTTTTTTTTTGAGTCGTGTGCTTCCTCACTCGATGCTCGATGCAATTTGCTGTTTTGAATTTGATGTAGAGATCAACACGTGAAGGAAGTGGGTAGCGCGGAGAACTTAACGGCGCTTGCCACCCTTTTTGCCCTTCTTCTTGGCGGCTGCCACCTTCTTGTTCTGGACGGGCTCAGTTGGTGGCGGGGCGCGCAGGCTGGCATCAAGTCGCCTATTGATGAAGCAGAACAAAGAGCGTGAGTGAGCAAGGCGTGTTGGGCACCCAGCAGTCAGGAGACAGACTCAAGAACGTGTACATACTCGGCCTCTGCTTGAGAGATACTGGCGGCGCCCTGGCTGCCCTTGGCCAGATTGTCCTTGACGCGACGACGGCGGCGGCCGGCATAGCTGCTTCGCTCATACTTCTTGAGCCAGCGCTCGGGATCGGGCTGACGGTTCGGATCGTAGTTTTTGGGCAGAGGGCCACGACGCTTGCGCTTGTGCTTGGTACGCACTGCACTCGTCGTGGCGTTGGCAGCCTCGACGTCTGCTTGGGATGCTTGCGGGCCACGCGCTTCCGGTGCTTCACGCCGGGCACGGAACTACCCATGAGCAATGCGTTGGGAACGGCACAGGTGCAAACGTTAGCATGAGGCAAGTGTCACAGGCCAAACAGAATGGGAAGGAGCTCAAGCCGGCGCGGCAGGCATGCGCCCCTGTCAGCATGCGCTTCGTCTCGGCCCGAGGCCCCGTACACACCTTGCTAACGCGCAGGTAAGCGGCTTCTTCAAGAGCGTCAACGTCCAGCTGCTCGTCGTCGCCTGCCACATCCGCCGAAGGCAACTTTTCAGCATACTATGGAGCAACATCCGTACCAATCGGGGTGAGTTGAACGCATTTGGCAGATTCAAGGGTAACAAAAAGAAGTGCCAAACCTGCTCTGCAGCTTCGACGTCGGTCTTGGCCAGAGCCAGGACGAACTCAGCCAGCAGACCAGCATTCTCGTCGTCAATCTGCACGGCACGTCGCAAGCAGTCGACGGCGGCCTCGTCTTCGTGCTGTTGTGCATGCTTTGCACTCAGGGCTCGCAGTAAGGCAACAAGTACCTGCTCTGCAGCATCGCCCTGCTCCTGCCCCAGGCATCAACAGCCATGAGCATCAAGGGACAGCCAAGCGGTAGCCACAACATGTCCCCCCTCTCAGGGGAGAAGGGCGGCTCATACCTGGCGGGCAGACCAAAGCTTGACGGCGCGCTCCAGGAGACCGGACACGCTTTCGGGAGCGTGCTGCCGGGCAGACGCAATGAGGTAGCCCAGGATGGCTGGACTGCTGGCAAGCTGAGCATTGTTCTCAAGCAGCTTGCTGGCCGCGTCACGGTGGCCTGTTAAGGACAAGATGAGCCGAGATGAGTCGCAGCCATGAGTTGGAGGTTAGACCACACAATGTCCAGGTTGAACGCCAGGTGGGCTGGGCAGACAACTCACCAGCTTCGAGCTGGGCCTGGGCCTCGGCCAGGACCAAGTCGGTGCTTTGATCATACTTTTCAGCCAGCGCCTAACCATTAGAAGCCAGTAGGTGAGAAAGATGGGGCGAGCTCGATGTTGCGACTCACGGAGAAACGTACGCGGACAGCAGCAGGTTTATCAGCCACGCTTTTATCGCGCAGCAAAGCCGCCACATGGATCCACAGGATGGTGCGACTAGAACAATGGGGTAATGCATGGCATGGCAGTCGTTCACGATAAGAGTGCGAGGTTGAACCCTGCCAAGTCCAATCTTGCGGAGGTTATCCGGTCGTACCTTTTCGGATAGCGTTCGTGAAGCTCGGCGCAGCTGGTGTAGCAGGCATCCAGGGTATTGGAGTACAACAGCAAAAGGGCTTGGTTTAGCTCAATATTTTGGCGCTGCTTGGTGTTGAGCTTGGCCAGCACGTCGGGGTTGGCGGCCGCCTTGATACGCTTCTTCGAGTCGAACACATCCGAGCCCTGCACGTTTCATGACGAGACGGGCTTAGTTTGGTTGGGCAGGACAAAACAGATGCCGAGCAAGTACTTTCAGGGTGGGAAGGGGAAAAGCAGACCCTCATACCTGGTGAATGGACACAATGTTGTTCGCTGCCACGGCAACAACACCCAGATTGTTTCTGTTGTTGCAGAACAAACCCGAGCCATTTGTCACGTGGGGGTCGCAAGTCAAACGATGACACGCAAAAGACTCGCGAGCAGACAAGGGCAGCATCGTACCGTTCGCGGACAATTCGTTTGTAGATATCGAGCGCTTCGGCTGTATGGCCTTTCATTTGCAGTGCCACCGCCTTTTGGCATTCAAGCAGGGCCATGGATTGGGCCACATCCTCGGGAGTGGATGACTAATGTAGCAAATGGAGAAGAGCAGAGGGGTACATGAGAGCCTGGTCTTTTGCCATCGCCTGCAAGACCACAAAAACGCGAAGGTGCGCCACGTACGGGGTCCTCATCAAAATAGGCCTGGCAAAGGCCTGAGCACGGCGGCCGAGGAAATACACCGTCGTGAGAAGGGTGGAGCAGCGACTGACAAGACACCAGGCAGCATGGATCAACAACGTACGCATGGCCTCGTCGCTGAGTTTGACGGCTGCATCGAGCTGGCCAGTGACAAGACGCATGCTGGCGCTGTTGTAGGCAGTCTCGTAACAGGAAACGTCATCAGCCACCTGAGCGCAGCGCAAGCCATGGCAGTGAGAAGTCATTCGGCATCGTGAAAGCAGCGAGTCGTACTTTCAGCCAGTCCTTTAAACACACGCTTGCCCCCCACAAAAAAAATGCTCACATGACCAGCACTGCCCTCGGCTTCAACGAGGGCAGCCAAGTAATTGGTGCGACGCTCCTCATCGCGTCCATCATCCGCCTCCGAGAGAAGCTGCTTGTAGGCATCGGCGCTGGCTGCACTGGCCTCGGAGCGATACAGCTAGGAGTTTGCCATTCCAGCAAGGCATACAACCAGGAAAGAGGTCTTGAAAGTCAGACAGATGCAAAAGCAAAACCAAGCCAGCCAAAGAAATACATTAGACGGAGGTGGGATGGAAGAAGAAGTCGAGCCGTACCGTCTGGGCACGCAGCTCGAGAAAGCGCAAGCGTTGGGCGCCTTCGGCCGACTGCAGGGCACCATCAATTAGCTTGAGAGCTTGAGCATACTGGCGGGATGCGTAGAGGCAGTAGGCCTCTTCATAAGCAAATTGGGATCTGCAGGTGACACCAGCAGTCGTGTCAGGGCACGGGCGGCTTTTGAGACGCACACAGCAAAGGAAAAAAAAAGAAGAAGAAGAAGAAAGAAGGAAGAAGAAGCTGGACCTACCGGTGCTGGCTGGACGCAAGGGTTTTGATGGCTTGGTCATACTGATTCAGCTGGGCCAGCGCAACGACCTTGCACTGCACCGCCTCGACCGCATCGGCCTCGAGCTTGAGCACTAGCACATGCAAAACCCAAAACAGCGTCAGATTGGCTCAGGTCGCAGCAGGCGCCTTTAAGTGAGCGAACCAACCTTGATCAGCACACTGCACAATCTTGCTGGGATTATCAGCTTGGAGCGCCTGGTTCAGGTCACCAAAAGCGCGACGCAAGGCCTCTTCCGGGCCTGAATCAGCTCCATTCGCCATCTCCACGTTTCACGGCATGCGATGACTGCCCTTTCTCCACAAAAAAAAAAAAAAAAAAAAAAAACAGAGAGAGAGAGTTTGAGAGAGAGAGTTTGAGAGAGTCGAGAGTGTTGTTTGAGAGAGACAGAGACACAGAGAGAGAGAGAGAGAGAGAGCTGTCGTCGTCGTGGCGGCATCCGCTACCAAGTGTTAATTGGTTTACCAATTTGTCTGACAAACGTTTGCTCGCTTCTTGTTTCTCACTCTCTCTGGAGTTGATGCGACGCGACAGGTAGGCAGGCAGGCAGGCGCAGGATCGGGTGTGGGTGGCGTGGTGCACTGGCTGTGCGGCCTGGTCAAGGGTGTTATGGCTGCATGTGTGTTTTGAGATTGATGGTTGGAAACCCAGCTACGGGCTACAGTCAGTGGTTTGGGCAAGCAGCAGCATGGCCGACTCGTTTGTCTGATTTCCTGAGCCTTACACAAAACATATCGCAAGACCAGTGCAATGTCCGGCCTTGCAGTCGATTCGATCGTGCCGTGCAAGGGAGGTGCTCATTTTCGTCTCGCCTACAACTGCTTAGAGCTCAGTTCAGGAGTCCCGTGACTCACCACAACGCCTCTGCCGCCTCGTCTCAAAGTTGGACTTGACTACTTGACTACATTCTTGCTGCGAATCGCGCCGCCACCATGTCAGGTGTATTGACATTCCTGGCCAAGGCAGTGCCGCAGTTTGGCAGCCATCAACAAGCCAGTGATGGCCGTCCCAAGCCACTGCTCTACCCTCCCGGCTATTTTACCCTAGGAGCCGTCGCCATCTACCTGAATCATCGCTTTCGCCCCTTGTCTGCCCTTGATGAGGTATGTATCCCTGATCAACAGACGCAGCGCTTTTCACTGCTCGAGTCTGAACCTGCGCTGTTGCCTGACGTGTCTGCTACTAACGCCCTGTTCTCACTGTTCCCTTGAACCTGGATCCTCCTCAGCCGTTTGCTGCGGCCCTCGGCCGCGCCGCAGCTGCACTACCTTTTCGCAACCTGCTGCGCGTGGATCAGCGCTGGATGAAGACCTTGGGTGTTGTCAGCATTCTGACTGGTACGCTCAAAGCCCTCTGGTTCCCAAAAGCTGGTCCGAGGCGTGGTCTCACCGCCACGACCTGTGCACAGGTGTTTACTGCGCCATGTCGGCCAGTGGACAGTTCAAGACACACGAGACGGACGTCGTGCCCTTTGAGAACGTTACGGCTCTGGTTCAAGATGGCTGGTTTGAAGTGACGCGCAACCCCATGTATGTCCTTGCTCTGCTGCTACCGTCACCTGGTTCTTTGCTTTGTTGCCGCGCGTCTACTGCCATGCTGTGGACGCATGGCAGTAGACGGTCGTGCTCCATACCAGCGTTGGGAGATAAATTCACCGCTGGGGTGACCGCCTTGACACAGGTATCTGGGGTTGACCACGACTCTGGTTGGAGGCATGTTCTACTGTGGCCAAGTCTCGAGCTTGCTTGTGGTGGGGACTGTCTTTGTTATCATTGATAAGTTCTTTGTACCGCGCGAGGAGGCCATGATGCGCTCCATCTTTGGCCTTGCCTTTGACGACTACTGCGCCCGCGTGCCTCGCTGGCTCTAGCTGTGTTCCGTGTTGGTATTCATTTTAACTTGAGCTATGCTCTATACCGTGTGCATCGCTGTCCGAGTCCCAAGCCGACTGTCACACAATTGATTTTCGTTGATTCTCCGCCTCTTCATGGACATGTTCGGACATACCTGAGAACAGAGTCGGCGCCGGAGGTGCCGATCGCCATGAAACACCTTGCACACGACTTCTTGTTGGGCAAAGCCTTGAAGTGGTGCTTCGCTAAGAAGTTTGAAAACCGCGATATGGCAGGTTTTTGAGACGCTCAAATGCCGTTGATTCGATTTTTGAGATTGAGTGGACTTGCCTTGCCCACTTTTTCTCGGCCAAGTGAGATCGTGGATGTTCTCGAATGCTTCAATGTCAATCTTTTGAACACGGCATGCAGCTACGGTACGCTTGAGCCTTGTTGTGCCTGTGCTAGTTCGTATTTTGCCTTTCCTTTTTCCTTTTTGTTATTTGTTGTCCCGCGTTCTTCGTGGTCTATGCTGAGGCTTTTAGAACACGTCCCCACCTTACCACAACTGGCTCTGTAGGTTGTTCGCAATCGGTATTTTGCCTGTACAATACAAAGACCTGCGCCGCTTGGCATGGAAAGATCTTCAATTGAAGAATTGAAACGAACGTCTGGGCAAACGGCATCAAAGGTGGTGTCTATTTTTGGATATCATGGAGCAGTTTGAAGCTGACGAGAAGGAACTGCCCGAGACCGGCAATGCGGATGTGATCGATCACACCCGCGCTCCTGCTGGTCGCCGCGAGGTTTGGACAAAGCTGATCTCGGTTATGCAGGAGATCATGAGTGAGCGCCAAATTATACTGCGCAATGGCGCCCTCGCCAGACAAGAGATGCAGGCGCGTCAGTCTGACATGGATGATCGTGCTCGCGCCATTTTATAGAAGGATGAATCAGAGCTAGCCAAGCGCTCAAGTTGCGCTGCCCCAGTCAGACCAGAATATGGCGCCTGCTCAACGTCTACATGTGGATTCGCTGCATCACGGGGCATGCAAGCTGGTCGCGGAACAAATTCGACATGATACTGCAGGGTCGCGCATGCCATGGTGATAGCAAATGCCAGGCCGCGACGAAGAGCAGCTGTGGAGTGTCCTTCGGCGCGCAGCTTGAGGAGCTCGCATACGCACAGAGATAGTATCCAAATAGAAAGTTGGGCCCCCGACTCATGGGTTTCTGCCAGTAAATGCTGTCGAAACGCAGCAGGGAAACGCTCGTCCTCGGCAAAAGCGGCGGCCGGCACGACCTTGGCCTCAAGCCTTCGTGGGCGCGGTCGCTTCGCCATGCTCTGCTTTCATGATTCCAAAGACCCTTTCGCAAGCAAACTGTGTTAAATTGTCACACAACTCAGAGCGATAATTAAAAGAAATTAGAGGGGTGTGGTGAATTTGACTTTTTTTTCAAACTCGTCCAAACGATCGACAACGAGAGAGGTGCTGTTGCCCCGGTCACCAGCACCATGGAGGATGGATCGTGTCCGTACGAGGTGCTGGGCATCGAAATGACGGCCACCATTGAAGAGGTTTGTGCCCTTGGTATCCCATGTTGCCAAAGTGAGTCCCTTTCTCAGTATTGGTAGCTCGTCTCATGGAGGGTTCTTGTGCATGTCCAGATTCGCAAGGCCAAGCGAGACATGTCACGCAAATATCACCCGGACAAGCACATGAACGTCTCTGAAAGTGGTGCGTCAGCCATGGGCGAGCTGGTTGTTTGACGGCAGCCTCGATTCAGAGGCCAAGGTTGGCAAACCACACGAGGCCACCCACTAATTCTGCCCGTGTTTCTTGGCGGGGGCGCGTGGCGATAGAGAAAAAGAGATTGCGCATCAAGTTTGATGCCCTGGGCGAGGCGTATGAGCTCTTGTCAGATGAGACAAGCCGTGCCAAGTATGATGCCAAGCTCAAAGCAAAGCAGGCCGCCCAAGTGCGACATGCCAAGCTCAATGAAGAGCAACGCAAAGCCCGTGAAGGTATGGAACACGCCACGACCGCAGCCCGTATCGCACAGCACCACATGAAGGGCCAAACTTTACTCTTTAAACCAAACTTGCCCTGTAGAGCTGGATGCCCGTGAGCGCGATGCCAAGCGTGTCAAGGCTGCAACGCGGCAGCATGATGCGCAAATGCAGGCGGAGGTTGGCCTTGCTGCTTGCTCACACACACACACACACACACACCCCTTGTTGTTGGCGGCTTTCGTCTTGTCCTTGTCTGCACCAGTTACCTTTCGCCGTCAGCCCCATCATTCACACTCGGCGCGTGCGGCGTGTCCTGGCTTCTGGTTCAAACCCATGATGAACAGATTAAGCGATTGCGTGCGGAGGGCATCGAGCGCCTCGAAGCTGAGCAGGTCCGCATCGAAGCCGAGCTTCAACGAGCTCATGATGCAAGTAATCGCCGTGCTGCAGAAGCATCTCAGCACGGGGTTCTCAAGGTTAGACCAGTTCAAGGTGTTCTGTGACGCTCCAGAGTTCGCCAAAGTGTTCTCGATTTGATCCGCGTGCCGTCTTTTTGACCGCATATTGCCAGGTTAAGTGGGATTCGAAGACCAATCATACAGACACGAGTCTACGTGATATCTTCGACAAGGTCTGTATCAGTGTGCTCAAGATGCCCTGCTGCTTGGTTGACAACTGGGCCATTTTTTTTTTTTTTTTGATGACTCGCAGCTGCGAGCTTGAGGGCGCCCATCCCCAAAGCTTGCCGTTTGTGGATCTTGGTAGCTCATGCTCACTTCCCAACGCCCGGTCATCGCTCGCTTAGTATGGACGACTGGATGAGATTGTTTTTGGAAAGCCGGGGCGGGCAATTGTGTCTTTTCGCTCGCGACAGAGCGCTGTACGTTATAACCTAGGTGTCGGCCGCCGCCGCATGTGCACCCATCTCATGCCGCTGCCATTCTATGCTTGTAGCTTGAGGCGATGCTTCGGGAACGCTCGCGTGGCGCTCAAAATGGCCTCAAAAAGGTCAGTTGCCAGCCTGCCGGGACAAAACATGTTTGATCTGCGCCTCTAACCTCGGCCCCAAACGTTCCTTAGATTGAGCTCATGACGACCGAGACCACCGGGACTCCGTTGACTGCAGAAGCGCCAACGACCACCGAAGCCGATATAGCCCCCGATGAGGGCATGGATCTCGAAGACATGGAGGCCATGCTTATGGCCAAAATTGCGCAGAGCGCGTAGATTTATGACAATTCAAACCCCAAACTGAACATCCCGTCACAGGCCCCAGGCCGCCCATCATTCTTGTGGAAAAGGACAGCGGATCGTCTTCAAGTGTTTGTTTGTTTTTTCCGATTTTTTTTTTTTTTGTCAGCACACAGAAACAGCATCATTTTCTGTTCGAGCTCCAAAAACACAGCATGGCGGGTAAGTGTTGTTGGTCCGGTCCTGGCCATCCGTACTGGGGCAAGAGACACGGTGATCACACACGAACGTGGCTCAGCATGAACAGTGTTTGCTTGGCGTGTTTCTGGTATGATAGGACGGGGGCTGGGTTTTGGAAGGTTGGCTCGGCCGCCACCGCCGCCACCACCACCACCGCCATCATCAGCGGTCCAAGCCCCAGCTCAACCTGACCACGAGTCGGACCGCGCGGAGCCCACCCCAAAGCCAGAACAAAGCTCTGTGCCCACGGCTTTGGCCTCAACAACGACCCCATCCCCAGCTCCGGCTGTAGTGAAAGCCCCGGCCTCCAAAGGCGCTTTGGCTCCAACGGCCACTCACAAAGCAGACGCCCAACAGGATAAAGTTTCAACGACATCGACCCTCAAGCCGACCCTCTTAGCCAAGCGACCCAAGCTCACGGTGGCCGAAGCCTTTGGGGTTTGTGGTGGACACGATTTGCTAGGATAGAAGCACACGCCTTGCTGACCGTTTGCCTTCTGAACGCGTCCGTGTAGGGTGACGAGGACGAGGACGAGGACGAAGAGGAGGAGATTCCCGCTGCCATGCGCATTCGGATGCGCAACGTTGGCAGGTTGGCGTTGTTTGCTTCAATCACCTGACGGTGGCGTGCACGATCTAGCCTACTTGATATTTCAACTCCTGACATTCATCCCCGCTGACATGCCATGTCTCTTCTTTTGGCTATGCGTCTCGCTAGTGAGACACGCACATCGGCTGGCCCCAATAGTTACGGCAAGTCCAAGCGTGGCTTTACGTGGCGTACCCGCACATGGGAGACAGAAGCAGAGAAACTGGCAGCTGAGCAAGAACAGGAACACGATGGTCCAGACTCAAGCAGTGCGCAATAGCCGGATTGCCCTCGCTCAGACATGGCGGGGGAGAGACGACAGCGGGTCGGCGAACAGCGCCCGAGGCGCTTTTAATGTGGGGTGAGGAGCAGCTGGAGCCAGATTCCATGTGGAAGGGGTGGTTGTTGGTGTTGGTGTTGGTGTTGGTGTTGAGCGCCCATCGATTCTTTGTCCTCTTGAGCACGCATGGAGAATTGACCCCAAATCAGGCTTCCAGCGGGCTCTTGATTCGACACGCACTTCAAGTACTCGTCTTTTTGACCAACGAGATGGCAGATTCCGACCTGTCTTGAAGACGACAGGTTATTCTGATGAATTCTTATGGCTGTGACAACGCATCATTGCTTTTCTGTTTTTTTTTTTTTCTGTTTTTTTTTTTGTTTTTTTTTTTTTCTTTTTGGATTGAAAAGAATCATGGAAAAAAAAAAAGGAAGAGAATCATAAAAGGCAAGGGATGGCTCGGGAGCGATGGGGACAAGGCAATCCCGGAGCTAGAATTACAAAAGACATCGCCATCCATCACACACACGCACACATGGAAGACAGGCAGGGGCAACCAAGGCGACAAGGAAGAGTACTCCGCGTCGAGAAAAGCACAGCAATGAGAAGAGAATGGCATGGCCCTTTGAGCCGCAACCAAACGCAATGCACGGAGCAAGGGGGTAGAACACAACCAAACCCAGGTATGACAAGAAAGAAAGAGGGTTGACGGGCATGAAGCCGTGGCCCGAAGAAGTAAAACGCGCAGCGCAAGTCTCTCTCTCAAGCTCGCTGCGTGTACACACACACAAGAAGCCAAGCACAACATTTGCTGGCACCGGGTGAGCAGGCTTGGTCAGAAAGCCCGCAGACTCTTGACGTACGACTGCTCAAGGTGATGCACACAACTCATCCTTCCAGCATCCATCCATACCATAAAGGGTGCAAGGACAAGTGGAAGGTAAAATAGGATCAAGACAATCAATGGACAAGCCGGCATCCTTGTTTAAAGTGGGTAGGGCCGGCGCTGAGGACAAGCAAGACACTGGACACAGGAAGAAAGTGGTGACAGAACGAGAAAGCACATCCATCTCACCCAACAGGGTAATTGAGTTGCAGCACATTGGCGGCAAAGGGATGGCTGGAGAACTAGGAAGCATTGGCCGGCATGCCCTTGGCCAAGAGTTCCTCAAGGCGCACAAGCTCCTGACGGTCAAGCAGCTCCGGGGTCTTGAGGACCTTGTTGAGAAACTTGACCTCATCGCGCATGGAGGAAACGACGGTTTCCAGTTTGCGATTCTGGGCCTCGCGCTCCTCGTGGACGCGTTCCTGTTCCTCGCGCTTCTTCTTGGCCATCATACGAGAGCGCTTGACAGACTCGTTGTTGTTGTCGCGAGATTCACGCCATTTGGTCCAGGCCAACTGATATTCCTCCTCTGATCCAAACTCATCGCGCGTGGGCTCTTTCTTGTTGCTAGCGCGTTTCTTGCGCTTCTCCTCGGGCTTTGGGGCAGCCGTGGCCAGGCAGTGCATGGGCGCACCGGGCAGGGAAAGCGCTTCTTCCAGTCGTGTGATTAGGGAAGGTTTGAGGCCGGTGGTTGGGAGTTTGCGGCAGCGCAGTTCATCGCGGAGCTCATCGACGGTCAGCTTGCTGGGGATGCAAATGTCTGACCCATCGCTCGCCTCACGCTTGGCATCCGACATGATGCTGGTGTTCTGTGGAAGCGCAACAGCGACTGAAGACGAAAAAAAAAGGCGGGGGAAGGGAGGGGCACGCCAAGCACACACTGCTGTGAGCTGGTGGTGGGTACAAGTGAATGGGAACAACTAAAAAAATCAACACGAATCAGATGCCCCCAAGAGTAAGCAGCAGAGAGGGCCAAGCAGCAGGTGTTTGAGGAGAGCCAAGACGGAGCAGAGGGAGAGGGTATGCTGCTCTTCGACGCCGTCCCTGGCGTCGACACAACCGCCCGGTGGAGCGACCGTGACGCAACGTCGCACAAAGGCACGGCAAAGCAAGTCCAAGAGCAAGCAGAGACCATGCAGCGCAAAACAAGCCCCTCCTCCGACTGCCAAACCCCTGCGCACATGCGTACCTTATGCCACCAATGCGTGTGTGTGTGCGTACAACTTGGGGAGGCGTATCGATTGGAAGCGGGACACACACCAACAGGTAAAGGACGTTCAGCAGGAGAAAAAAAAATGTGTGTGCGTGTGTATTTGTGTGCGTGTGTGGCTCTCTATCTCTCTCTCTAAATCTCTCTCTAAATCTCTCTCTCTAAATCGCTCTCTAAATCTCTCTCTCTAAATCTCTCTCTCTAAATCTCTCTCTCTAAATCTCTCTCTCTAAATCTCTCTCTCTCTCTTTCTTTGTCTGCCTTTCAGTTTCTCTCTCTTTCTCTTCCTAAAACTCTCTTTCTCTCAAAATCTCTCTCTCTAGATCTCTCTCTCTCTCTCTCTCTCTCTAAATCTCTCTCTCTCTCTAAATCTCTCAAAATCTCTCAAAATCTCCTCTCTCTCTCTCTGTTCTCTCTCTCTCTGTTCTCTCTCTCTCTGTTCTCTCTCTCTCTCGTCTGTGTCTCTCTTTGACTGGATCTTGCTTCTGCTGACAGCTGTTTCACACACTAAGGCCTTCTTGCACCGGCTCAACGACTTTGACTGTGAATGTGTTGCAAGGCACATCTCGACGACAAGAGGGAATGGTCCGTCATTTGCCTTTGCAGCATCTGTTTGAGCCGGGCGGGCTTAGGGCAGTGGGGTCGCCCGTGCCTGACCCCACTGCCATCAACACCAGCGCCTTCAATCTGCCTCGGGCGCCCCCTTTGCATGCCCTCAAGTCACACCGACACCTTCATGGAAAGGTCGGGAGTCTTCGTGAAGCTGATTTGAGAAGCAACGCACTAGCCAAGAACGTGGGTCAACAGCGTGCCCGTGAGTAAGAAACGTCAGAAAGTATTGTCACCGTTTTACAATAAGAAAAATGATGACAAGAGAAGGCTCTGACAATTCTGTATAATTCCACTAAAGCTGCAGAGCCGTCTTTTCCCCATCCAGCCATACAGGTTTCCAGCAAAGAATCTGCACACAACAGCTGTTGCTCCACCTTGACGACCTCCTCCCAATGTCAGATAAAAAGGGGCGAAGAGATCGCCAACGACTCTCTCACATTCCGACACACGGGCAGCAGCGCTGACCACTTCGCCGCCAGCCGTTGCCGCCGCCGTCGCCGTCGCCATCGCCGTCTCTCTGTGCGCAGACGTTCGGGCGGATTGGTGCACAAACGATTAAGCAAGAGGCATCGAGGCGCACCCACATATTCCAAAATAAACCTCGATAGCACATCAACGTGCCTCAGGTCTTTTTACCTCCCCATCCTTGACATTCGGGTGCGCGGTAAAACTCGCCCCAACACCGAAGCGAACGACAGGTACACACCAACACGGCTTGTGCCTTTTTTTAAGGCGGGCCTGCCATGATGGCCCCGCGCGTTCACCGGGGCCCGGGCAACAATTCTGCCCCGCCCGAAGCCCATGCCAATCGTGGAACGCACCCCAGGACCAAGACCCGACCTGGTCGGTCGCCCGACGTTGGCCCAGCTGCCGGTGCCCAAATCAGCGAGCTGGCCTTGGCCCGATTTGCGCAGCCAAGCGCTGTTCGAATGAAAGTGGGCGCCCAAAACCCGGTAGCATTTACCGCTCCGCCTGGCATTGAAATGACCCCGGCGGCTTCGCCCCATCGCCATGCAACGTCCGGTGGAACAGGCAGTCGTTCCCAGCCCCATAATGCTACCGCGCCGCTCCGTACGAGCGCGTCCCGTCACCCCCACTCGCACCCACAGTCCCCCTCCAAAAGCAGTACCTGGCATGGGCTCGATGGTAGCACTTCAGCCCACAGCAATCCGGCACAGAACGCACACCGCACCGCCCTCTCAAACCACACCGCTCCCTTTCAGGGTGCCTTTCGGTACGTAGTTCTTTCATTGACATGGCATGTACGCGTATACCAGGTGCTCTTAAGGATGTCCGAAATTGTCTCTGCGAGACGTGTGCCCTGGTTTCGAATGCCTCTCTTGTTTTGAGCGTGGACCCACGCGATTTCGGTTCATGTCGGCCATCATCAGCAACTCGGGGAAGCCGTCAAGTCTCACCTTCCTTCCGCGCCTGCTTCCTCAGCCCGGGGACAACCAACGCGCGCATCCGGTTGCCACACATCAAAAGCCCTCCTAGCACACCCTCGGTGAGTTGTCAACCCTTGGTATCCGACTTTATTCCCGTTTAGGCCGGTACACAGACCACCAATTGGTCAACCCCACCCCTGTACGTTTGCTTGGCAAATGTGGTGCTCCCTCACTAAACTTGCCCTTGTTCGGTTTTTCTTGTGTTCTCCCTCGTCTGTTTGGCAGCAACAAACCCGTGCTCGCACCCCTGGCCCGTTACCGCTACAAGCGCGCCTTGATCATCGAGAAGACCAGTCCAACCGTGCCCGGGCTCGCAAGACTGAGCACACCCATTCAGCCCACCGCGTGCCCCGAGGCTACGTGATGGTGGGCGCACAAATGTCCATGGCCACCCGCGTTGAGATGAATGAGGAAGAGTTGCTGATGCTGCAGCGAATGCAGGTGGCCCCAGCCCCCGATCTTTACCTGGGCCGTGGCTTTATTGCTGAGGAAGATCCTGTGCGCATTCGCCAGGTGCAGCAGGCTCGCCGGCGTAGCAGCGCCTTGGCTGACTTACAGCTCGTCCATCTGGACCCGACTGAGGCGGCAAGACCCATCGATTTACAAGGAGCCACCCTTGTTCCCTCACCAAGCCCACGGCCAGCCGAGCCTGCGCGTCAGCTTGGGGCCGATCCTGCCAACCTCGATGGCGCTGAGCTTGATCCAATCAACATGGCCGGTGCTTGTATTGGTCTCGATGACGCTGCTGCTGCTGCTGAACGTGTCAGTCGTGGTCCTGAAGTAGAAAATGACCTTGACATTGAGGCTGGTGCTACCAACGCCGATGCTGCCGCCAGTCCTGACGCGGATGTCAGCGCCAACACCGACGCTGACGGCGGCGGCACACATGCCGTTGAATCTACGCCAGTAGCAGATGACACTGGTAGCCAGGTTGGCGGATGGACCGACACCGTACTCGACGCCAACCAATTTCAGTCTGACCCTTCAGAGCAGGCAGCAACAAATGCCGTGCCCTCTGACACCCGGCCGGCCGAATTGGAAACCGACACTGTCTCAGAATCAGAAGCCGTAGCCACCCTCACCTCTAATAGGCCTCTGAGTGTCTGTGTCGACGAGAGCGATGCGAGTCTACCAACGTTTGGGCTTGACAATGCTTTGACATCTTCAAACTCCGAGCCCCCTATCTGACTCAAGTGCAGCCACCACCACCCGTAGCGGCTGAGCATTGTACGCGACCAACCTTATTGACGATAACCGTCTTCTTGTGTGATTGTTTTGAAGGAATCAGTACCTACACGTTTCAAGCACCGTTTCTGTCCACGCCTTTGTTTTGGGCGTTCGTTTGCTCTTTTCTTTGTTTTTCCAGGCCGCGTGTTTGTCGCTCGCTTGTCACGCTGCCTTGCTGCCTTGCTGCCTTGCTGCCTTGCTGCCTTGCTGCCTTGCTGTCTTGCTGTCTTGCTGTCTTGCTGCCTTGCTCCCAGATTGCCTGTCCGATCTGCAGACGCCCCTTAGAGAAACCGGGGCCACCCCCCTTGTACCTGCCCTTTCCCACCATCCGAGTCGCTTTTGAGTTGCTTGATTGATTGATCGATCTAGTCGCACCTCACCTTTGTTTCCCATCACACGAGCCACAGAACTGCCGGCATCCACAAACATGCAAACCATCATGACCTGACATCCAATTGTGCAGGGACAAGGCCCGTGCTGACATGTGAGAACCTGGGAAAACAAGAAATTGCTTTTCAAAAACCGGGGAATTCATTCGCTCAATGTCAGATATTTTGAGCGACCGCGTGCGCGAGCACAGAGAGAGAGAGAGAGAGAGACCGCCAATCGCGAGCTCGTGGTCGTGATTGCCACCCTCTGCCTGCCGTGCCTGGTCTAAGCTGGTCCGTTCGGTGCAACGGCGGCTCTGGTCCAATTGGTGGTGGTATTTGTGGTGGACAAGGCACACACGCTTCCAATTTAACCAGGTTTCCAGGCGTCTGAGCCGTGCATTGGAGAACCAAAACTCAAGGAGACTCCTGAAACCTTAAACCGTGCACCATGGCTCTGGCCTCGACCAAGACAGCAGCCCCGTCGGTGGCACCGGCGCCTACCCTGCTGCAGCCCTATCGTGCCCTCGGCGTGGTAGCGAGCGACGTCCCCATGGCTACGCAGAACATGGGCAACGACACCTTCATTGCCAGCGCTGTCGGCGACGCTTTCAATATCTACAACGTTCGTGCGCTTCTGCCTCGTACCGACTTTTTTTTTTTCTTTTTTTTTGGCTAGCCTTGCTTGTCACACGAGAGCCTTGCTGATTGACTTTTTGTGGCCCCTGCCACTCGATTGATTGCTTCCCTTTTGCAGAGCAAGAAGCTGAACCTTGTGTTTGTCGGTAAGCGCCGCGCCCCCGCCGCTCAACCTGCTCAAAAGACATGCTTGCTCATCCCACCGTGCTCTTGTGCGCCTTCTCTTGGCCTGCAGGACAAGTCGGTGAGCAAATCTCGCAAATCCAGTTTGGTGGCCGCCTAACCTTCGTGGCAGCTGGTGCCCGCGTCCTTGCCTATCAGCGTGAGCGCCAGGTAACTCAAAGCCCTTTGTGGCCGTCATCTCAGCCTGTCTCCGTTTAGCACCAAGTTTGATCTCATGGAAATTTCGCCCCCTCCCTTTTTACCAGGTGCAAAGCTTTGTGGTTCCTGGACGCAGTGCGGCTGTCTCCCTCTTCACCATTTTTGGTGACCACCTCATCGTCACCTACGAGGACAATGTGGTCGTCATCTTCGTCATTGCTACTGGTGCTGTCCACCTGACCATGGAAGACTTTGACGCAAACCGCTTCAAGATTGCCGCTGTGCTCCACCCTAGCACCTACGTCAACAAAATTCTCTTTGCGAGTACTCAGGGAGAACTGCAGCTCTGGAACATTCGCTCAAAGTACGCATGACATGTGATTTGCCATTCGGTGCCCTCTTGTTTGCCCCTCCGCACGCGGCAGCACGTACTCTTCCTTATCAGACCACGCGCGTGCCCCTCAACTTGCTGCGTACTTGTAGCAAATTAATTTACTCTTACAAGTCCTTTGGCAGCGCAGTCACTTGTCTCACCCAATCACCAGCCGTCGATGTCGTGGCTGTTGGCCTGGCGGTACGTGTCAACACCAGGCTGTCGTTTGCGAACGCGCACATGTGACGACACAACGCGGCTTTGTTTCTCTCACGCCCTTGCTTGTGGATGTCTCAATTGACCCACGCGCCAACCCCTCCATTAGAATGGCCACATCATGCTGCACGACCTTCGCCGTGATAAGACCGTCCTTCAATTTCACCAGGATGGTGGTCCCATTCGTGCTGCCTCATTTCGCACTGGTATGGCCTGCTCTCCGCCAGATGTGCGAGAAATTTGCTAGTTCAAGCAGGCACCTGGACTCACATTCATGCGCCCTGCTCCTTCAGATGGCGCACCCATCCTCGCCACCACCGTGGCACTGGGTACTATTGCACTCTGGCACTTGGACGAGGCCAAACTGCTCGCGGTCTGTCTGGTACCCCTCAGACCCATACTTTGCCCATTGGTCGTCCTGCCTGACCGAACCCTCATTGTGCTTGTGTTCTGGCTGCGCCTATCTCGATGGTTTTTATGTTCGTCTCGGTGCGACATGTTTTGTTGAAACTCGTAGACCATGACACATTGCCATGCCAGCAGCCTGACCACCATGGAATTTGTGCCGGGGAAACCTTTGCTGCTGACGGGTGGCCATGATAATGCCATGAAGGTGCGGCCTGTTGTTGCAAATGAGCACAAGCCTGCCACGCGGCCATGCTGGCGCGTGGGAGGCTTTGCAAGGACGCTAGATTCACCCCGGTGTTGTGTTAGTTGTGGGCTTTTGATGCTCCGGACAGTGCTGGACGGTTGCTGCGGCATCGCGAAGGCCACGCCGCCCCCATCACCCACCTGCGGTTTTACGGCACTGATTTTGAGCTCCTCTCTGCAAGCCACGACCGCACGCTTCGCTCCTTCTCCGTGATTCGCGACGAGCGCAACCGCGAGCTTTCCCAAGGCACGCTCGAGTCACAGGCCAACAAGAAGGGAGTGCCGCTGAGTGCTCTGCGCCTTCCTCCTATTCTGGACTTTGCCGTCGGTGAGTACGGAAAATCCAGACCAAGAGCGTCTAGCTGTTGCACATTTGTGCACTATGGTTGCTGGTAGTAGTGGAGGTCGAGATGCTTGTTTAAGTCTCGGCTCACGACTGGACACGTGGGCTCTGCTTAGAAATGTCCCGCGAAGGAGAATGGAGCAACTTGGTCACTTGCCACAGTGGTCGTGATGCTGCTTGCCTTTGGTCCACCGACAGCAAAAAGCTCGCAGATCTCAAGCTCGCCCCAGACAGCAAGCACACCGGCAACAATGTTTATGCCACCGTACGTCCATCTCGGACCTGTTCCCCTCATTTTTGTACCTCTCACTTGACCACCGTCACCCCGGATTTTGCAGTCGGTGGCCATGTCTGGTTGTGGCAACTTTGCGCTCGTTGGCCGAAGCAATGGCAGCGTCGTCTACTACAACGTTCAATCTGGACGTGTTCGAACCGTCTTTCGCTCCAAGGGTTGGTTTTATCGCTGAAGCAACGGGCTCCGAGATGAGCCCGTTGTCTCTTGGCAAGGCAGTCGTTTACGCGCATTTGAGATGACCATTCCTTTCATCTTTTCTCATTTCTACCCCCCCCCCCTTTTTTTTAATCTCACCTCACGACTCTTCCTCTCATTCAAATTTGGCTTTTGATTGGGCAGATGGGCAGGCACATGGCTCTGCTGTCACAGCTGTGACAGTCGACGCAGTCGGTGACACTTGCCTCTCGGCCTCGCGCGACGGCGTCATGAAGGTGCGAGCCAAGATTCAACTTGGCATTTGGCCGCAAATGTCGCTGACTTAGTCACTTGGTCGTTTGCTCACTTGATTCATTTCCTAATCGTCCTTTTTTTTCTTTTTCTTTTTTTTTTTTTTTTCTTTTTTTTTTTATCGGACAGATGTGGTCCCTCAAAACAGGCAAACTTCGCACCAAAATCACCTTCAAGGCAGCAGTGCAAAAGGTTGAGTTGTTCCGCAGCTCCAACATTGCTGCTGTCGTGACGGCCGACAATGTGATCCGCCTTTTTGATCTCGAAGTCAAGCGCATCGTGCGTTCGTTCAAGGGCCACGACGCCCGCATCACAGATTTGGTTCGTAGCTCGATCGTTCGTGCTGTCTCCGCCCAAGTGGTTGAGCGTTCACTTCATGGCCGGCCAGCATCAGCTGTGTGCACCAACCCCCCCCCCCTTTTTTTTGGCATGCGACCCTTGCCTCATGATCAATGTTGCTTAGGCCTGGTTTCCCGATGGCAAGTGGATTGCCACCACTTCCATGGACTTGACCATTCGAGTGTGGGGTACGTATGGCAATTCCATGTCACGCCATCAATGCCACCCTCATTGTTGCCACCCTTCACACACAACTGGCACGCGCAAACGTGTGCTTGCTTGTTTGTGCGATGCATTTCTCTCATTTCAAAATCGTGGACAGATGTGGTTTCGGGTCGCCTTCTGTCTTGGGTTTCGGTGCCTGATGCACCAACCTCGATTAGCATTAATCACACGGGCGAGTACTTGGTCACAAGTCACGTCGACAACGTTGGCATGTGCCTGTGGATCAACCAGAGCCTCTATACCTCAACTATGTTTGCTCCACTGAGCCCCGGTATGTACGGCAGTGCAGGCTGCGCAAATGCCTCGAGGCATTGACATTATTTCTCCCACCCCATTGCTCCTGCTGATTAGCACCAGCTCACCTATTTTTTTTGATTTTTTTTTTTTTTTTTTTTTTTTGTCACAATAGCACAAATTGAAATGGGCCCACCCAGCGTGGCGCTGCCCAACAGTGCTGACCCCGAAAGCACAGGCGCAACGGACAGCAGTGCTGATGAGTATGTATGCTTTTGACCTGCGGTCAGCGTCTCAACTGTCCCTGTCTGCGCCCCGCCCGCTCACCTATTGAATGTGTGTCGTGGGCAGGTCATCCGAGGCTGCTGACGCTGAGGTGATGGAAAAGGAGGATGCGACGGCCGAAAGCTCAAGTTCTGGCCCGGCACAACTGGACAGTGAATTGGTGACTCTATCCACACTACCCCGTTCGCGCTGGCTCTATCTGTCTCGCCTTGAGGAAATTCGCCATCGCAATCGTGCCAAGGAGGACGTCATTCGGCCTCGAGATGCGCCATTTTTCCTGCAAACCAATCCCGGTGTGTAGCTCGTGTCGTTTCTCCGCAGCTTTCCCTTTTGAGGCGGAAAGCGAGTCAGAGAAAACAACTGCATGTTGCACTGACTTGCCCGTCTCTGGCTCGCCTGACATTTTAGGTCTCGAGTTGAGCTTCAAGCTCGAGGAGGATCCGCTCAAAGACTTGGACAAGACAAGTCGTGTCCTCAACTTTAGCAAGCTCAATGTTGCGTCGGCGTTTCAACGCTGCCTCCAGCAGTGCCATCACCGCGGTGAATGTACGTGCTTCTGTCGATTCCTTCGTGCTCAATCGTGCCTCGTTTTGGGCGAGTATCGAAGAAAGCAGTGTGGCTCACATCGTATGTCTGGCCGGTCAACTCTCGGTAGTTGTTGAACTGATGGACATGCTCAAGAGCATGGGCTTGTCTGCAATCGACCTTGAGTTGCGCTCGTTGAGCGAGGCTCATGATGGCGAACAGCTGGGCATGTTTGCGGATTTCCTGGTAGCCATGCTGGCCGAGAAGCGGGATATTGAACTTTTGCAGGCGTACATGGATGTCTTCCTTTCGGTAAGCAAGGGTTGGCTCGACTTCAAATCGTGCCCCGCTTTCTTGCTGGCTGCCTTTCTCCACACATGCACATGCCCTTATCTCTCCAAGCGAAGTGCCCTACCTTGCCACCACCGACTCATTCCACGACTTTTGCTTTTAGGCACATGGCCTCACCATGCGGCAGCACGAGTCTTTGGTGGCTAAACTGGCAGTGCTTCATGATGCGCAGGTGGGTCTGGCCAACCGATCGTCTCAACACCCGAACAACAGTTGGTCGGCTGCCGTACTCACTGCGTGCTGTGCACCACCTTTGTGTGCCAATGGCAGGCGGATATCGCGCTGCGAGTTACGACCCAGGTGGACGGGTGCATGGCTCTGCTTGAGTTTTTCCGTAGCCTGGACCTGAATTGAGTTTTTGTTGCTCTCGAGCTTTGGGGCGTGCCTTTTCAACTCGATTTCCGATAGTCTGATATAAATGAGAGCATGCGTGCGATCAAGCGCTTAGACGATTGTGATTCAGGGACCCATAACTCTTGCAGTATGCCTTTGTATAGCTTAATGCGTTTTGGGGTCGGTGGCGTTGCAAGATTGCTCTTGCAGTGACTCCATGCTCAACTCGAGACCACACCCGCCAATCGCTTGTAACCTACACGCAAGGAGCATGTTTTGCTCAAAATGAGACCAGCAGCAGCCTGAGCCCGCAATCACCACAACAAAAAGGCTTTGGAGGCTACAAAAGTAGGAGCCACGACAGCAGCAGCTGGCCTGCCCGGAGAGACCCTCCAGCACACCCACCTCGGATCGGCACAGACACTCAAGAGGCCCTCCCGATAGGACTGAGCCACTTCATCATTGCACATGCTATGACGACCACTCGACCTGAAATGTAGAGTTATTCGAGATGGATGGTGAGCTGGGCACGAATGACCGGCAACCAATCTGGCTTTCGTGGCCCTCGTTTGCACCAACCTGGATTCGCGCGTCATGTCATAAAAATCTTGTGCTGAAAGCCATTTGATGCCCATGACCTCCTCGCTGTCAAAGTCGATGATCTGGAGCAAGTCTTGCTGGTAAAAGGCAATATGGGTCAGCTGCACGTCGCGTGCATGCTTTTTGGCCGAGGAAACATAACGGTCAAAGGTGTGGTTGAATAGACAGGTGCCCGTGAACAGGACGGCTTCGCTGTCGGCAAAGATGCCAATCTCCTCGCGCAGTCCACGCAAAGCAGTCTGCAGTGGTGTTTCCTTGAGCTGGGCGTGCTCACCCAGGATGCCCCAGGACCGGGGGCAGGTCACCATATTCTTGCCACGCTGGAGAAGAAGAAACTCGAGGCGGTTGCCCTTTTGCTGCAAGCGGCGAGTCACATAGAGGTGCGTGCTGGAATGCAGAATGCCCTGCGCATGGACCTGGTCAATGGAGAGTTCGCCCACTGCTTGGTGCCGAGAGCTGTCGAGAACAGCGAGTCGATCTTCCTGTTGAACTTCTTCGGTCGAGCGTAGCGCGCGGACACCAAAGCTCATGTATGCCAACACGGCAAGGGTCAGCGTGAGGCCGAAGAGCAGGTTGAGATGCCGACGACCGCGGTTCAAGAGCGACCGGCGCTCAGGAGCCGTGACACCCTCCATGTCCACTTTAAAGGCCCCAGCCCCTTTGGCCGGTGACCCCGCGGCGGGAACCATCGTGGCCTTGCCCAGGTTGTGAAAGCTTGCAGAGCGCTGCATCCACTCGGGGGCCTGAGGCTGATAGACTGCGCCGCGGCAAATCGCGCGGCAGGCACAGAAGACAACGAATACAATAAAAAAACAAGGGAGCCTTGAGACAGGAGGTGATGAGGCCAACCCCACAGACGGACGGACGGACACCAACCCAGTTGGACGTCAATCCCCAGCCCAACTTTCAGCCGCCGCCAGACGACCACCACTTGCGCCAGAGGCTGAAAATGCAGAGGCACAGAGAGAGAGAGTTTGAGAGAGTTTGAGAGAGAGACAGAGAGAGACAGAGAGTTTGAGAAACACAGACTAAGAGACAGACAAACACAGAGACAGACAGACAGACAGACAGACAGACAGAGACAGAGACAGAGACAGAGACAGAGACAGAGACAACAACACACACACGCAACACCTCATCTTTCGCTCTCCTTTTTTTTTTGTTTCGGTGTGTGTGTTGAAGCGGCAAGAGAATCGGATTGAGCATTACCACATGTACAACAAGGTTAGAAAAGAGAAAAGGGTGGCCAGTCAAAAAGGGTTTTCCTATGGCAGATGGCTTCGGATCGTGATGGTTTGTGGCTTGCCCAGAGTGTGCGGCGGCGCTGCAGCTGACTCAAGCGGTCTTTCGAGGGTCAAATTGGGTTTATTGAGTCGATTGCTTGAGCGAAAAACGGACGACAAACGATTCATGGTCATACGAGAAATGGGTGCAGGCTAGGCATGCCGGCGCGGGCGTGAGGCGAGCCGATGCGAGTGCACGGCGTGGTGATGCGGGTGCAAGAAGCGCACATGCTTCTTCACCCTCTTTGGCGATCGAACCATCCATTTGCGCATCAGCTTCCAATTGAGTTCGACAATGCCTAAGAATTGGGAACGGTCGACACACTCGGGATGATGAGGTTGAGACTCTATTTCATAGAGAGCATCGCTGAGGTCTTTGGGCATCCTTAGATCATCGGCAATCGTCTCGAAGATGATGCGTAGGTTCCAGACCATAAAAATGACGCATGTCGTTCGCGAATCCAGAAGATAAACCGCAAGCGGGGTTTCGGCGCACAGCTCTTTCGTCTTGGAGACAATATTGAGCATGGCTTCGTTCTTTGGCAGACCCAATGTGTCGGTAGCCAATTCTTTGAAGCGTCTCCAGCTGAACTTTTTGTGCCATTGACCTGATTTCATCTTCTCGAAGAACGTGCAAGCGGCCTTGACAAGCGACTCCATATACTCGTTGTTGACGTCTTGTTCTTCAACGCGACCGTGTTCTTCGTTGACCATGGCATGGTGAAAGCACGCTGTGAAGTGATGGAGCTCAGCGGCTTCATGAGAAGCAAGGCCCCTGCTGTTGTTCTTGACATGGTCGGCAACGAATCGCAAAAGCATCATCAGTGTACGGAACCACATTGGAGTCTTGAAAAACGCTAAAACACCAGATGGGAGCTGCTCCAAATGGACGTCGCGAAATATGGCGTCGTAGATTCTGGTGCAGGCATCTTGGAGTGTCTTCACATCGGCTGTCAACGTGTAGTTGGGGCCACCTTTATCAAACTGGTGGTATGCCACACAGCCGTGTTCATTACACATTAAGACGAAACCATGATCGTGTGCATCAAGAAACTTGCAAGGCGTCTGAGCTCTGTACTCAGGCGTACGATCAGGCGTGCGAGGTTTGTGCTCAGCCACCCTGGCTCTGCGTGCGAGAGTGAGCGAGTGAGCGCCAGAGTAGTGCGCGCACACACGCACACACGCGCACACACACACACACACACACACACACACACACACACACACACACACACACACACACACACACACACACACACACACACACACACACACACACACACACACACACACACACACACACACACACACACACACACACACACACACACACACACACACACACACACACACACACACACACACACACACACATACACACACACTCACACACACA